TTTTGGAGTATTTGGTCTCACGGGCTTCGAGTCCGCAATTTGATTATTACTGCCTCGAAAAGGGCATCCCGATCGGTAACGAGTGCGTTCGCACCAATCTGCGCGCAGCTGCACTCAAACCAACAAACAGCTACGCACAGCACGCACAGGGTCTGCAGATGCTTGTTGCTGACAAAAAACGAGGTGTAGAACATTTTTTTTGGACTACTGCCTGAACAACGAGCCGTGTTTTTTGGACAGCTAGGTTTCGGTGCCCTTCTCTTCTCTCAACGGTCACCAAAGGGACCATTACGCAAAACGGAGGCTGCTCTCTCTCGTTAACAACGGCTTACACTCGGCCCTTCCCTGTACACTCCAATCACGATCCTTTCCCACGCGCCACCCCATGTTGATATGCCACGCCTAGAGGAATCGCTTACGTCAAGGTCAGAACAAGTACTGCTGCACCAGGTACGTTGCTTCTCTCCCTGGAAGTATTGCCCTCCTAATACCTCATGCATCACGAACAAAAGTAGACACCTCTCCCCCCCTCCCGTCTCCCCCTCCCGGCGGCGCGGGACACAAGCGAGGTGGCCCTTACCAGGCGAATGCCAAATCCAACTGCACGGCGATGTACTACATTCCTAGGCACGGCAGTCATCACACCTGCAGGCGCCACACAGCTCTCTCCTACATTCCGAACCGCGGCATCCACATCATCCCTCTCGCGCCAGGACGTCTGACCATCACGCGTTTTATGTGCTGAATGCCGTTTTCACCCATTGGTCTGGCGTGCCATTCCCGGGAAAGACAGCCCTGAACGCTTGAGTGAAACACTCCTTCCGAGCGAGTTGGACGCCCATGCCATCCGCACGAAGCTGTTTGGCGGCGTCGAAGCAACACTGTGTGGGCATGAGTGCGTGCGAGGAAGGAGAAACAGGGACGTGAGAGAAGTCAGTTTGCACCGTACCCTCTCCATCCACATGTCAGCACACGTGGTCCAACCCATCATATCGCAAGAACAGGGCAGGATGGGCCCTCCAAGAAAACAAAAAGAGCAGCCGCTGCTCTTGGACGAGAAGAGCAGAAAGATTGTTCGTGTGATCTGGTGCAAAACATGATTTACCAAGCTACGTCGTGTCAAATCATGATGTGTAACACGTTCGACCCAAGCTGTATCCTGGGCCCGAACTGATTGTTCTACAAACATGCAACAGCCGTAAATCGACGGGAGGGCGTCCTGCAGTCAGTTTAGTCGGTTGAATGTCGAGGCAACGAGATACGTACAAGTAGATAAGATAAAGCAGTAGTGTTGGGTGTGACGAGCGCCACCGTCCCACTGCTGTAGGGCTTCAATATATGAATGGTACACGCTTCCACGGTTGGATCATCAGCCTCGGCAGAAACGGGCACGCCTGCTACGGACACCGAAGGCATGTCTACATTTGACAACCTGAACCTAAAGCCTACAAGCAGAACGGGCAGTAGACCTGCTGTACTTGGTCCTACAGCAGTACCACAGCACGTACCTGGTTGCGAAAAACGTGAAGGTGACGCTCACGCCACGCCTCTCCGCAGTAGCGACCACATCGTCGCACTAACCCCAGCCAGATAGACTCCGCAGAGCCCAGGGTGCTCCTTCGCAGCTTCGACGCCCTGATCGCGCGTCAACCCTCTTGGTAGAGCCTTTGGCGGATCGTCGTGCAGGCATGAGCCCGCTACTACCGCCACGGCGGCATCGAACACAAATTATCGTACGCGCCCAGGATGGCTGTCATGCACCTCCTTCATCTGGCGCAAAATTGCCAGGGTGTCCCCTCCTCTGAAGTCCTCCACGATGGGAGTATCGGGGTATGCGTTGACCGCCATCGCCTAGGGTGGCGCGGACGCGGGTAGTAGACGGGGAAACTGCTGTGGCGAAGCGCTGACAGGTTGGCCCTGCTGCTGCTGCTGCTCATGTTCAACAGCGAAGTTGCGCCGCGTCATACTATGCTTGGGCGAAAAGCGCTATCAGGGCCTTACTCTAAAAGCACTCCACCCACCGATGAAAAGGGCACCCGGGCAACCTGGAGCTTGAACGCTGGGGTCTCGTTTTCTCTACGGCAATATCTTGAAAACCTTTTTTTGTGCTCCGTTTACGGCGCCCTTTCCAATTGTATTCTAAAAGCCCTATCACATGGCCCCTCGCTTAGATCGGATTTCAGGGGCCATTTGATAGGGCTTTTAGACTACAGATGGCTCAGGTGGGGACGCTTCGGGCGCTGGTTTCTCCATGTGTACAGGTCAGGGACCGCCCATCATCGTCCAATCAGCAGGCGTGTTTTTTTTTTTTAATCTTGTGATATTTTCTGAGCTGCGATTTTCCTGTGCGTCGTTAGAGGGGTTAAGTATCATCATTGTTTACCCTGCTGTACGTCAAGCGGCCACATGTGCTGTCCTACCTGTTATCTGGGTCGCTTCAAAGAGCACGAGAGCAACGGCTGCGCGTCTACAACGCAGTACTGGTCTTGGTACTGGTACGTACGTATACGTAGACGATACATGGTAGACTCGTGCTGTTCAGACGGACATACACTCCGCGGAGTCGAGCAGCAGCGCGTGTCGGCATCAGATGCATTTCAGACGCTCTGAAAGGGGCACCGGTAATCAGACGAAGCCATCACCTCAATAAGGAAACCAGCAGCCGTCCACAGACAGAAGATGGTGTTGGACCTGTGAGCTGTGTCTTCTGTAGCGCGGAGTGCGCAAGGCAAGTGGGGAGCAGTGCGGAGTGCGGAGGCCGAGTGAACAACCGATCTCCTATAAACTAAAAATGGACAGATCTCCAGGTTCTACGAATATGGGAAACAGGTTCTACGAAATAGGTTCACAGCCTTCCTCCACATGAAACGAGTCCACTGCATGGCAAAAAGGTTTTTTTTTTTAGCAGGTTTAGTACAGTACAATACTGCCAGTATTTTCAGTATTGCAGTACCTTTGGCCATAATATACTGTACTGCACGCTTTAGTACAGCTTTCGATACTGGAATAAAAATACTGCACGCTTTAGTACAGCTTTCGATACTGGAATAAAAATACTGCACTCTCCAGTACAGCTCTCGATACTGGAATATACTGTACTGGCAGCACGGCTCTCGGTACTGTACTGTACTGGACGCTTTAGTACAGCTTTCAATACTGGAATAAAAATACTGCACTCTCCAGTACAGCTCTCGATACTGGAATATACTGTACTGGCAGTACGGCTCTCGGTACTGTACTGTACTG